TGTGAACAAGGCTGTAACTAATATTCTTGGGGGCTGGGGTTGTGGCTCAGCGGTAGAGCGCTTGCTTAGCATGGGCAGGACCCGGGTTCGATCCTCACACCACATAAAAATAAAGGTGTTGTGTTGTGTCCACCTACACCTAAAAAATAAATATTTAAAAAAATAATATTCTTGTGCGTGTATTGATTGGCACGGATGCTTTGATCTCTAGGAAGGGAACAGGAGGCTCAAATGATGGTATCAAAATGCTTTTCAAAGTTCTGTGACTATTTAAATTTGCATCATCAGGATTTCAATATATCTTCTTCTACATCTCACCCAGCCCTAAATAAGTGGCTTTCTAAACTGACCATCTGATAGGTATAAAGTAATAATCTGCATTTCCCAAACTGTGAGTGGACTTGAATGCCTTTTCATGTGGTGGATGTTTGGACTTTCTCTTTCTATTTTGGCTCATTTCTCTGTGGTGTTGTTTGAATCCTTGTCAACATGTAAGACCTTTTTTTTTTCCCCCTACATAGTGCAGATATTAATCCTGTGACTATATATTTTTTAAAAAAAATTTTCTTAATCTTTGCCATTGATTTGACTTAGATTATGGCTTGCCACTCCAAGACGTCATGATTATGAGCCCGTGCCCTATCTCTCGTGTTTCTCCACATTTCTCCTCCCTGCCCCTCCTCTCCCTTTTCCTTCCTTTCCCACCTTTCCCTCTCTGTATTTGTGTGTTCCGGTTTTCCTTCTCCTCTTTCTATCTTCTTTGGTGTCTCTTTTTTTCTGTCTCCTGCTATCTCTCCCCTTCACCTACCTTCTCACTTCCCCAGCTCCATGCACTAATTTTAGGCGCAGAAAGTGCTGCTTTTTCTGCTAATGTCACTTATAAAGCCAAGACTGACACAAGAGGTGACTGGGAAAGCCTAGAGAAGGATTAAACTGACGTGTTTTCAAAAATTGGCTGAGTTAGAGAATCCTTGGGAAGTTTTTCTTTTAATATATCCCTTGTACCTACCTTCGGAGTCTCTGATTCCATAGGTCTGGAGTGGAGTGTAAATGATTCCTTACCTTAAAATCTTTCCAGGTGATTTCAGTACACTACAAAGGCTGGCAATCTGACTTAGCGCTGGGTCAGGGGACTTGGACAAGTGCTCACCAGTAGGGGTGGATGGCTTGGGAGATTGGACAAGCCAGGTCGTTGCAGTCTCAGATAACTAATCTCAACCACCATACAGCTCAGCACAGGACAGCATGAAGACTTGCAGTGGAGTTAAAACAACGTCCTCTACAGGACTGAGGCTCACTTCTAGTAGCAGCTCACCTTACATGAGACTGCAGTGTGACAAAAGGCCACAGGGGGGCAGTGCAGCCACGCGTGGCTCAGACCACTCTGCATGCAAATCAGGCCCGACCAGGCAGGACCCTGGCTCTAGGCAAGCTGCGAGGAGACCTGACACCTGCCTTCCCAGTTCCCCAGAACCCGGTTCCCAGATGACTACAGTTCCTTGCGTATTGTGCATGAATTATCTCATGTCGAACACTGTCTTGGGTTACTTCAGTTCATCTTCATGGCAATCCAGGTAGGATATTATTGCCACTCTACTAAAGAGGAAGTTGCAGTTCAAGGAAGTTAGTGAATTCCCTAGAGGTGGCAGAGCCAGAACTTAGACCCTAACCTGCATGATGCTGAGCAAAGTGTTCCCTACATCCAACAACTGCTGCTTCATACAGGTATCATTTAGTTGATTCTGGACATATTTATAAGTGCTAATTTACCAGTAAATTTATTTATGATTGCTGATTACTCCTCCCTTTCTTTTTTTAAAAGGACCAATAAGGATAATTGAGTTAGTGAGAAAACTTAAAGTCCAAGGTTGGTTTGCATTTTAATAGGGCTCTGAAGAAATGAGGGCTGAATGGCTGATGGTGACACAGTGGCCAAGGGGTTGCCTGTACCACACACATCAAGGCCAAGGGGTCACACTGAAAGTCTATGGGCCAAATGCAGGATCTTATTTGGCTATCAGGATGGTTTTTAGAACCCTGATGCTCAGTGGGACAGTTGCTCAGCAGCGTACCACAGTGCCCACTGTTACCTTTTCTTGACTTCTTCGTGCTTTACTCATTGATGCACCTGCTTAGATGTGCGGAGGTCAACACTGGCTGGTGATCCCATTAACACTGCTGCAAGATGAGGACTGCCTTTGGACCCCTGTGCACCTCCTTCCCCTGGCTCTGCTTCCCTCCCAGGTGTCTCTGTCATCATCACGCTGGCTGCTGTAGCCAGAGGGCCTCGCACCTGTAATGGTGAATCTGTCCATCCACTCTGCTGCCTCTAGCACCCAGACCAGCCCTGGGTTTGCCAGGGCTAAATTTAACCTGCAGCTGCTTCATCAGATGCTAGGGTATTTTCAGCTGAGGAGCCTCGGGTGGCTGAGCTGGAGGTGGCTGGGGGCTGCTGCCAGGGCTCACATCCAGTGTTTTGGATTGAAATTAGCATCTGGGTTGTTCCAAGATCTTGGTCTTTCCCCTCCCTTCCCTTTTCTTAATTGCAGCTGAGGAGAAGGGAGGAGACAGAATTGGCAGAGAGTGAGACAACAGAAGACAGACCCTGGGGACCCTCTGAATCTGCTGTCATTCTTCCCTTCTCCATAGTCAGTTAGGACCACTCCCTGGTGGGTGGCAGAGGGGAGGGTACGGGCTGCACTGCACAGCGATGGGCTGCCAGCTAGCCCCCGTTCCTTCCCAGCTCACGGGTCCCTGAGTCACTCACTGTCCAGGGGAGCTGCTAGCCCTGCTCTGAGCTCCAGCGTTTGTCACATATCACCCAGTGTCCCTTCCTGCCCTGAGCATCCATGGGCAGGTCTGTGTTCCTGAGAGCTTTGGGCAGTGGTAATCTGGAAGTTCCTCACTGGCATGTGCAGGGGAGTTGACAGTCCCTCTGGCTAAAAGAGCAGATGTAAGTGTGAAGCCACAGGCTCTTGGTGGCATTTACAAACAGAAGAGAAAAATAGGCCAGAGATGGGGTGGATGGCATTGAGGAGAGTAGGGAGGGGAGAGGCACCAAGAGGGAGGAGGCTACCCCTGCGTCCTCCCCTGTGGGGTGAAGGCAGAGCTGGCCAGCCTGTGGGAACCACCCTGGCTGTGTCAACTGATGACTTGGCAATGGGCTGTCAGGTATCATTAAACTTCCTGTGAATCTGAGTGAAACAGGTCCCCCCTCTCTCTAGATCCTTTGTACCCAGGGCAGAAGTTCTCCTGACTTCTTGTGTCCAGTGCCTGACACTCAGGATGCTTAGTAGGTGCCCACTGGATGGCACCTCCATCCCTCAGCTCACAGGGGTTGTTTTTGTTTTAATAAGTTTATTTTTATTTCTTTATATATGGTGCTGAGGATCGAATCTAGGGCCTCACACATGCTAGGTGAGCACTCTACTGCTGAGCCACAACCCCAACCCGCGAGTTTTTGTTAGTTTTGTCTGGGTCTCTGACCATCTCTTATGGGCTCCCAGCATCTTTTTCTCTGTCATATTAATATTAAAAATGGCTAAGAACCAGGACTCTGTACCAGGCACTATCTTAAACACTTTTCACATATTAACTCATTTACACTTGCCCCAATCCTATAGGAGATAGGCACTGCTACCATCCCCATTTTACAGATGAGAACACTGTGACTCTGAGAGGCTAAGTAATTTCGTACCCAAGGACACACAGAATTTGGATCTGGATCGCCAAAGCCCATTCTCCAAATCACTGTGCATCCGGTCCCTCACATCATTGCATTGGACCTACTGGTCTCTTGTCTACCTCCTGCACCAGACTGGAAACTAGTTGATGATTAGGATTGTGTTTTGCTCCCCTTGGGTCTCAGGATTTATCCTAGAGTTATCACAGTAAAATATGAAGCAAATGTTTCTGGAATAAAGGAAAAAAGTAAAGTGCCCGTTAAGCCACTGTTCCTTTACCCTGCGTTTCTTACATCTGATGTCTCTGAGTGGGTTGTGATTACAGAATGGACCACGTTGGCTCCTGGGGACAGCGATCCCAGCTCTCTTCCCTCCCCTCTCCGGCCTCCCTATCCAGCCCGTGTGGTCCTGCAGACGCAGCACTGCACAGCAAATGCCTGGACTGATTGTTTTGGCGACTGTCCCACAGGCTGCCGAGCACGCGGGGCATCCAGCTGACTCCCGTGGCTGGGGCGTCGTTGTCACCCTTGCGCGGTGCCAGAGGCAGGAGGGCAGCCGCGGTGGTGTTGGGGTCCAGCCTAGGCCAACGCTGGAGGCAGAGGCTGGGGAGCGACGCAGGTGCCCAACGGGGTGAGGTGGGGCTGGCCAGGGGCTGCGGAGGAGGCGTGGCTTGGCTTGGGTCTGTGCAAACCGAGGGGGGTCGGGGGATTGGCTGCGGGGTGGGGGGAGGTGTGGGGGGGTTACTGGAGCGACAATGGAGCAAAGCTGGAGGGTCAGGGGAGAAGCAGACAGCAGAATAGTCTGGAAGGGAGGCCATGGGGCTGAGTCTTTATATCCTCATTGTCGACCAGTCATGGTTGCATAACACACTGGCTGCCCCAGGGAAAAGAGCATGACCTTGGCAACCAGTTCGCTTGGTAGACGCAATTCCCAGGGGGAGGTTGTGCCAGCCGTCAGCCGGCGCCGGGCACACCCACATCTGGGGAAGGAGGTGCGGGGTCTTCGGGAAGGACCTGGGGGAGGCACCGCGGCATCTACTTATGGCCTGGCACTTTCACCCCGAAGCAGCCAAAAGCTAAAAAAGAAGTGAAACAGAACGATGCTCAAATTGTGGCGGTCATCACTGCCCTCAGCAGCCGTCCCCAGGGACGCGTTAGAAATGCGCTCTCCGCCCCCCCCCCCCCCAGACCTACTGAGTCAGCGGTGGGAACCGGGCCCGGGAATCTGTTAACAAGCCCTCTGGGCGATTCTGATGCAAATCAAAGTGTGAGAGTCACTGTTCTACACTGTTCCATTGGCAGGACTAAAGGTAAGTATTTGTTAAGTTCTGATAACTTGATTACAGGAGGTGGCACATGCCTGTCATCCCAGCGGCTCCACAGACTGAGGAAGATGGCAAGTTCAAAGCCAAACCCAGCCTCAGTAATTTAGCAATTTAGAGTCTCAAAAACTAAAAATAAATGAATAAATAAAAACAAAACAAAACAAACAAACAACAACAACAACAAACAAAAAACCAAAACAACAACAACAACAACAAAAAACAGGGCTGGGCTGGGGTTATAGCTTAGTGGTTAAACACCCCTGGGTTCAATCCCTGGTACCAGAAAACACAAACAAACAAAACAATACCAAAAAATCTACTACAAATTGGACTCTATCCTTGTCTTCTTTCCCACTCGGATGGAAACTGTGGACAAAGTATGAAAGCATTAAAGAACAACAAAGCACACTTTGCCAATCATTGCAGTGTCCAAAGCTCCTTCTTCTGTAAGAGAATCAGAAGATACATTTCTTCTCCAAGGTTTGGCACAACTTCTAATGAGCAAAATGATGAGATTAGACTGGTACCCTCAGTCTTTTTCCAAATTATAACATGTTAATATAACCAATGGATTAAATTAGAAATCATGATTTCCATCCACACAACACTCAATACACATAGCTGCTTAGAGGCAACAATTATCCTTGGAAATTAAAGACCAAAACAGCACAGTATCATCTAACTATACCCTCAATGCAAATAGTGTTATCCAAAGAAGCTCCCAGTAAGAGAACACATGTAAAAAATGTTAATTTAGATAGACTGATAATTTAAAAACCAACATAGGCCCCTCTTTTGGATCATTTATGTAAAACTGTTAGTAAGTGTTCCAAGTTTTAACACTTGTCTATTCAAGACAAATTACTAATTTGCTAAAATTTTAATTTTTCTTAATCAGGGAAGTTTGCACCTAGTGGATCGTCTTTTTTTTTTTTTCCTTCCTAATTAACATGCTCTTTTCTTTCTGTTTGCCGGATATCCCCTACTTATTCATTTATTTTTTGGTTTTTCTTTATCACTTTGTTTTACATTTTTTTTATATAGCACATAGTTGGGTTTGTTTTTAAGCCAGTCTGACAGCCTATGTCCTTCCTTCCTTCCTTCCTTCTTTCCTTCCTTCCTCTCTTTCTCTCTCTCTTTCTTTATTTTTTCTAGATATTGGGAATTGAACCTGGGGCCACTGAACTACATTCCCAGCCCCTTTTATTTTGAATTAGTTAAGTTGCTGAGGCTGGCTTTGAACTTGTGATCCTCCTGCCTCAGCCTCCTGAGTTGCTGGAATTATGGGTGTGCATCACAACGTCTAGCTCAATCTATCTTTTAATGGATTAATTCAGCTCATTTACATTTAATTATATTAGTAATCTATTCTTCTACGTGTGTTTATTATTTGTTTTACATTGCTGTTTCCTTTTTTATCCTCTGTCTTATCTTTACTAGTTTCATCAAGTTGTCATTCATTCCCTTTTACTTGTTGTAATTTAATTGGTATACAACAAACAACACATTTTATAGTGTACAAGTTCATAAGTTTTGAACCTATGTACATGGCCTGAAACTACTACAAAAATCAAGATAATAAATATAGCTACCTCCTAAAACATTTCTAGGGCCCTTTTATATTTTTTTTCCTCCACTCCCTACTCCCATCCCCAGGCAATTAATGATCAACTTTTGTTAATAACTCAGTAATATATAATAATATATAATAACGTAGTAACTTTTTGTTACTATGGTTTGCAGTTTAAACAATTTTATATAAATGGAATCATACAAATTTATGTTTTTCTGTTTGGCTTCTTTCAATCATTTCTCATCATCATCATCTTTATTTTTGAGACTCATCAATGTATCAGGTGTAACAACAGCTTGTTCCTTTTCATTGCTGAGTAGTATTCTAGCAGTGGATACCCCCAGTTAGAGTATCCATTCACCTATTAAATATTTGGGTTGTTCACTGATTTGAATATTACAAACAAAGTATCCATGAACATTCATGTGTAGGTCTTATTGTGGATGTATGCTTTTATTTCTGTTGGCTATGGATGTAGGCGTGGAATGGTAGTAGTTTGGTTAACATTTAAGGGAATTTTCATACTGTTTTCTAAAGTAGTTCCATTTTATAACTTACTGTCAGTGTATGCAAATGCAGTTCATTTACACTTCACCAATCCTAGAATGTTAAGTTTTTAATTTTAGTCACCGAACTAGATATATAATGCTATCTCATTGTGGTTTGAATCTGCACTTCCCTAATGATTGATCGCGTTGAGCATGTTTTAAAAAAATATTTTTTGCCATATATATCTCTGACCACTTTTTAAATGATGGTTTGTATTCTTATTAGTTTTGAGAGTTCATTGTATATTCTGAATATATAAGTTCTTTCTTAGATATATAACTTGTAAATATTTTCTGTTAATCAGTTATCTTTTCATTCTTTATTTCTTATTTATTTATTGTTTATTCTAATTTGTTATATATGACAGCAGAATGCATTACAATTCATATTACACATATAGAGCACAATTTTTCACGTATCTGGTTGTACACCAAGTATCATCACACCATCCGTGTCTTCATACATGTACTTAGGGTAATGATATCCATCTTATTCCACCATCTTTTCTACCTCCATCCCCACTCCCTCCCCCACCCGTTTATCTTTTTATTCTTAAAAGTATCCTTCAAAAGGCAGAATTTTTTATTGTATAAATTCCATTTTATGGACTGAATATTGAGTATCACAGTTAAGAAATCTTCACCTGAGGAGGGAAGAATAGAATTCATTGGATTCAGCGAAGGGGAATGAAGGGAATGGAGGGAGGCTGGGAACGGGAAAGACAGTGGGATGAATGGGACATAACTTTCCTGTGTTCACATATGAATGTATGACCAGTGTAACTCCACATCATGCACAACCACAAGAATGGGAAGTTATACTCCATGTAGTTTGATATGTCAAAATACACCCTACTGTCATGTATATCCAAAAAGAACAGATAATTTTTTAAAAAGTGGGGAAAAAATTGTCACATAACATAAGGTCACAAAGGGTTTCTCCTAGGTTTGCTTCTAGAAATATTACAGTCTAAGGTTTCACGTTCAGGGCTGTGATGAGTCTTGAGTTACGTGAGTTTCCATTTCCAGGGGTCTTCTAGCTCCTCTGCTGATCTGCACTTCCCTGGGGCCTCCTTTTCCTTCCTTGTTTTTACTTCTCTGAAGGAGTTCAAGGATTTCCTTTATCATTTTTTTTTTCAGTGTGGATCCGCTGAAGTCACATTTTTCAAATTTTATATGTCCTAAGATGTATTTATTTCACTTTCATTTTTGACAGATATTTTTGCAGAGCGTAGACATTGTTTTTTCTTTCAGTACTTCAAAGATATTGCTTCATTGTGTTTTACTCACGTTGCTTATAATAAAAACATGTCAAAATGATTATCTTTATTCCTTTGAAGGTAAAAGTGTCTTTTTTATCCCTCTGGCTGGTTTTAAGATTTTTTTCTTTAATATGGATTTTGAGAAATTTGGTTATCATATGTCTTGATATGATTTTTTTTCATGTTTCCTGTGCTCAAGGTTTGTTGAACTTCTTGGATCTGTTAAATATATCTCCACATTTTGAAAAAATTTCAGCTATGATAGATTCATAAATATTATTCTGTCCCTCTCTCCCCCTCCTCTCTTTTGAGACTTTAATTGCACCTATGTTAGGAAGCTTGATGTTTTTCCAAGTTCAATCATGCTCTATTGATTTATACTTGAGTGTATCTTTTCCTAATATGTATATTTTGGGTTAGTGTCCACTGTTATGTCTTTAAATTTATTAGTCTTTTTTTCTGCATCAAATCTGCTTTTAATCCATCTAGTGTATTTTTAACTCCAGATATTGTAATTCTCATCTCAGGAAGTTCAACTTGGTTCTCTTAAAAGTGTGTACCATGTATCTACTTAACATGGTCAATACTTCCTCTAACTTTCTGAACATGCAGAATATAGTTGTAACTGTTTTAATATCCTTTTCTGCTAATTCTAGCACGTGGGTCCATAAATTTGAAAGCAGAAAATACTTACCAGAATGAAATCTTGCTCTGTATTTAGAAATCAGAACCCATCTCTGTAAGATTGTGTGTAAAAGAAAAACAAAATTCCTTTTCAAAAGCCAATTCAAAGGCCAGGCTCTGTGGTACATGCCTATACTCCCAGTGGTTTGGGGGGCTGAGAAAGGAGAATCACAAGTTCAAAGCCAGCCTCAGCAAGAGTGAAGTACTAAGCAACTCAGTGAGACCCTGTCTCTAAATGAAATACAAAATAAGGCTGGGGATGTGACTCGGTAGTTGAATGCCCCTGAGTTCAACCCCCGGTACCCCATCCCCAACAACAAAAACAACAAAAAATCAATTAGAGCCTGGAGTGGTGTTTCAGGCCTATAATCTGAGCTCCCCAGGAGGCCAAGGCAGGAGGATTACAAGTTCAAAGCCAGCCTGCACAATTTAGTGAAACCCTGTCTCAAAATAAAAAAAGATATTAAAAAAAGAGCTGGGCAGTATAGTTCAGTGGTACAGCACCCTTGCATTCAACCCCCAGTACTAGAAAAAAAAATCAATTAGATCTCAAACATTTATCTCCTGTGTAATATGGCCTTTAAAACCTCTAAAGGCCTTTAATACTAATTAATCTTCAAGAGAAGTGGTAATAAAATTAAAAACTGTTACTTCAGAGTTATGTGAATGATCGTTTTTCTATGCCCCTGTATGCTTCAAGGCCAATGTACCAGGAAATATGATGAATTTCTTATCTTCCAGAATGTTGCTAGGGTTTTACTATCAACAAGACTGGAAATGGGTTAAAGCATCATAGTCCAGGTATTAAGGGTTCACCCAGAACAAGACAGCATGGATCTTGGGTTTGGACTGGAGAATAAAGGTACACGTGAGGATGTCAGAGGGGCTGAAAGCCTCAGGAAAAACACAGCATATTTTGGGACATCCATTTTGCCTCTTGGTAAAGTTTTCAAACACTGGTTAAAACAAACAGATATATTATGCTGTAAAATGAAAATTCTGCAGATCTTTAAGATAAACTGTTTTAAGGTTTGCCTACGTACTAGGCATATTATTTTTATTATTATTATTATTTTTTACTTTTTAATTTTTTTATGGTATTGGGGATTGAACCCAGGGTCTTGCACGTGCTAGGAAAGCATTCTAACACTGAGCCACACCTCCAGCCTAAGATGAGATATTTAGACTTAGAAGAAATACCGAGCCTTGGGTTACTTTAGGCCATGCCCTCTGTGGGCAGGAAGGTTCTGTTACTTCGGTAAAAAAAGAGTGAGAAACCTTGTTCTAAAACCATGGTGCCCCTAAAAAGGGAGGGAGATAGCTCCTGACGGAAGGCCTGCACCTGTGCTGATAGGCCATGCGCATGCGGACATCCTCCAGAGATAGCAAATGGGAGCAAACCATTGCACACATTCATCATCCATTCATCCATCTTTTAAGCATTTTAAAAATGCCTCCTATGTAGCAAAGATTGCAATAGATGCTGAAGTCAGTAACAGGATTCAGTGCCTAGTGAAGGAATTCTCTAAGTTCTTCTTGCCCCAACATATATCATTAAAAAAACAAAAACAAAAACAACAACAACAAAAACTCTTGATCTGTGCCAGACATGGTTTCAAGTGATTTAAAGGAAATAACTTGTTTAATCTTTGTATTCATAATCCTCTATGAATGTAGATGCTCCCGTCATCCCATCACACAGCGGGTGTACTGTCCAGGCTGAGAGTCATTGTATAGTGGGACAGACATTTCTATAAAAAATCAAAACACTATGAGGGTGGGGTCGAGGCTCGGTGGTAGAGTGCTTTCCCCGAGTGCTCAAGGTCCTGGTTTGATTCTCAGACCACAAAAACTAAAACAAAACAACAAATTTTAACATTATGGTATAAGGGTAAGAGCTGTGGGACTATTTCTAAGGCAATGGAGACCCTTGGTTCCAGATAAAAGACTGACAGAGTTTATAAACCCCAAGTGGAAATGTCTTCCCTTCCTGCTTATTTATTATCACAGAATCTGTGCCTAATATGTGACTGACTTTTCATAGCGTTTGACTGATCCTGAACAAAGTCAGTGTGAAGCACGCCTCAGCTCACAGCCTCCCATCTGGTTTTGGCCAAACTGAGTGGTGGGGAATGTTATCTAATGCGCCAGAATTTAGCTCCTGACCATTTCTGAAAACAAGTTCTAGTTCTGTTTCTCTTTTCTCCCCAGCTGTAGGAAGGTATAACTGGCAAATAAAAATTGAATAGATTACAACAAACAATGCGATATTTTGCTCAGTTCTGTTTTTTTTAATTGATTTTATTAATTTTTAAAAAATACACGACAACAGTGGTTAGTTCTATTTCTTGGGACAGCTTTTCATGTTCTGTGTTTGGGACGTTAATAGCCATTATATGGAGAAATAAAAGGGGGGTCATGTTTTAATAAATTTGGTGAATTAACTCTAAGAAAGTCTTCTTTATTAGAGGATTTTCTCAGAATATTTTGTATGCTAATGTGTTTTATGAACCTCAGGGGGCACTGCTCTTTGGCATTTTCCAAGTTGTTTACCCACTCAACTCTTTTTCTTGTTGTCATTTTTTCTTTTGTTTGTTTTTTGGTTCTGGGGTTTGAACCCAGGGGTGCTCTACAACTGAGCTATCCCCAGCCCTTTTTATTTTGATTTTTTATTTTGTGACAGGATCTCATGAAGCTGCCCAGGCTGGCCTTGAACTTTCCATTCTCCTGCCTCAGCCTTCTGACTAGCTGGGATGACAGGAGTGGCACCACCCAGGGCTTGACTCTGTTCTTGATAGCCACATCATGACACTGCATTGGAATGGCTGGGGAAGCTTAGGTGTCCCACAGTTATAATGAGCCTGATCCTTCTTCCCAGGCTGGCTTTCCAAATACCTGTGCATGGGCCTCAGGGATAGTCTCCTCCCGTGTCTTCCTGACTTCTCCATGGTGAGGTTCTCACCTTCCTCTGGATCTCCTCTCTGGGGGCAGCTCCTCTGTGCCGGTGTTCCTCCTAATGTGTGGGGTTCAGAACTGAGGATAGTAGCCATCCATGGGTTTTGGGGTTAATTCTGATGGACATCTTAGGAACGCTGGGGACACTTTGTTTTTGTTCCTTTATTTCCAACCTGATAGGGAGGGTTGATGAATCCTTGATATAGAAATGATGGATATTAAGAGGCTTGAGGAATTTGGAGCAGTTCAGATAACAAATAGAATGATTCGTGGTTTTGAAGGTATGAGGTGTCAAACATTTGAGAGCTGTTAGGTGCAAAGCTCTATGGAGGACAGACAAGATCTGCACATTCATCTTTCTCTCAAAGAGCTAATTGTTAAACGATGGAGGTGTTCATAGAAAAGGCCAAAATTACAAGATAGCATCACCCACTGTCAGATTGACTAGAGCTATTGGAGCTAAAGGAAGATTCGCGACTAGCCATCTTTATGTTTCCTCCATGGAATCTCATGCATATCCTCAGGATGAACAAGCCTTGCAGAGGGACTGAAAGAGGTGGGCTTTGCTTGAAGGGGCTGTGTGCTCCCAAACAGCCTGGCACAAAGTGAAATTTTGATCACGGAATGCTTTTCCCAATGATATTTTATAAAATTAGAGATGTGTTTTCTAGAAGAAGGTAATGTTTACTCAAAGTCAGAAATCAGGGCACACCCTGGAGTCGACCTCTACAAAAGTCATGTGTTTAAATGCCAAGACAGAGGATTCTTTTTTTTCTGTTTTTTTTTAAAGAGTCCAAAGTATTATTCAGAATAAATTAAGGAATACAAATACTCTCTTCTCAAGGCAGCTTTCATATTTGAGGAAGTTCAGTGTGGTTGGCAGGAACACAGATGTTGGAGTGAGACCATCTTGTTTCTGTCGTTATTCTAATTATTGAGTGACTGATCCTGGATTTCTTAATTTCTCAGGGTCTCCTTTCCTTCCTTCCTTCCTTCCTTCCTATCTTTTACGTCTTCCTTTCCTTTTTATTTAAAAAATATGGCGTATTCAATAGTGTGACCTCCTAGGCTTGGCAGGAGTGTTAATGGGTTTCTGAACACAAAGCACTCAGAACACTTAGGAAAACCTCATTATTATGTATTTATTGCTATATAACAAATTGCCATTTGTTGTCATTATTTATTGTCTTTGTCTATTTTTGAGGGGCTGGACTTCAGAACAACTTAGCTGGGAGACTGGCTGGAGATTTTTCATGAAGTTACAGTTGGCTCTCTGCTGGTGCTGAGTCACGTGGAGGCTCACCTGGGCTGGAGGACCCATCTCCAAGGCAGTTCTCATATGGTTGGGGACTGGTCCCCCCTGGTGGGATGCCTCACTTCACCTTGGCAGGGGCGTCTCCACAGGGTGGTGGAGGACCTCACACCATGGCGGCCAACTACCATAGAGCAGAGGTCTAAGAGGCCAAGGTGAACTGCAATGCCTTTTATGACCTAATTTTGGGAGTCACACGCTGTCACTTCTCCTTTATCCCACTCTTATTCAGTGTGGGAGGGGACTCTATGAGGCATGATTGTGAGGAGGTGGCCATCCATGGGGGTTATCTTGGAGCTGGCTACTGCGGCCGTCAAGGAGGTACTGTGTCCTATTATGTGAACTGACATTAGGTAAAGGACACTTAAATAAGAATATTGTAAAATCCTGCAGCCTCAGCATTGTCTTCTAAAAGGACAGTTTTATAACAGGACTCCATTGCTGTAAAGCACATATCAGGTGCTTTGGTTTACACTTACTTGAAAGAGGAACCTGAAACAAGGCCTTGGGTACCAGGAGTTTATTTGGAAGCAGGAGGGAGGGAGGAGGGATGTGAGGTGAGGAAGGAAGAAGAGCCACATGGGGGTTGCTACTCCAGCCTCTGTGGACTGGATTCCTCTGGGACCTTCTAGGAGGGCTACAGAAGGCCTCCCAGCATTGTCCTCCGGAAGTGTGGATGACCTGCACACTGGCTCCCAACTCCAGGGTTTCTACTGGGGGCTTAGCTTCCCTTGCACTTCAGATCTGGACTTGCATTCTGGCTGGGGTTCTCCATGATGTTGGAGAAGGTCTGAGAGGAAGCAGAACCCTTGGCTCTTGGAGGAAGGATGCTGTCATCACAGGGTGAGTCTGAGCTCACCCAGCTGCGGTGGAAACCAGAGGAGGCTGAGGGACTTGGCGGGGATGCAAGAGGCACTTGCTTCATCGTGTTTTCAGGAGCTGGGGTTTGGAGGCTGTGTTAGTTCAGCTCCTCCAAGGAGCAGGTGTCAAGACCGGGTTAGAAGGAGGAGAAGTGAGTTGGGGAAATATGCCTTGAGGATGGTGGGGAGGGAGCTAGTGGAGGCTGGGAAAGCCCAGGACAGTGATGCAGTCTGACCCTGGGGAGGAGAGAGGGAGGAAGTAATGTGGGGCTGAAAGAATCTTAGACTGTGATTCAGGTCTGGGAAAGGTTCAGCAAGGCCAGTGCCAAGGCTTCAAGCCAAAGTCTCCCATTGGTAGAGTCTTGGGTTCGGCAGCACTGGACAACTTTGTGTCCAGCTGGTGTGAAGTGTGACTTTAGTGGAAACGCAGAGGTAGGTCAGAGCATCTCAGCCTGGCAATCAGGCAGTCACCCTCCCTCACTACCAGTGGGAAAGGCACATTTCTATCACCACAGGAGTGTTATTCATAAGCTACCACAGGCATGTATTTGGGGAACCAGAGTTATTTACTGTGAAATATTAGAGGTCTCCTTCTTCTTTCTGCCACATTGCCTGAAATTCTCCCATAAGGTACTAATTCCTGTGTTTCATTGTTGCCCTCTCTTCCAGGTCAACTCTGGGAGAAAGAATGCGTCACGTCACCAATACTTCAGCATGAACAAATCATTCAAATGCTTTTTTTTTCAGTTTTTATTTTTAAAAATATTTATTTGTTCTTTTTAGAGATACATAGCAGAAGAGTGTATTTTTACATATCAGACATACATGGAGCATAACTTCCCATTCGTGTGGTTGTATGTGACGTGGAGTTACATGGGTGGCCTCTTCATGTATATACGAACCTAGGAAACTTAAGTCCGATTCATTCTACTGTCTTTCCTAGTCCCACCCCCTTCGTTCAAATTCTCTTAATGTCTAATAGAAGGGATCTGGGACAACTCAAGGGCATGTGAAATTTGGGCAAGTGGCAACTATGGAAAGGGACTCAGATACGAGGCAGTGGACACACACACACACACACACACACACACACACACACGGGCACACCTTCACTTGTGCCAATATCTCGTTCCTGCTGGAAATGGGACAAAACCAACATCCAGTCTGCAGTGGAACAGCAGGTGAAATGTGCTTCCATGAAACGTCTGTTGGTGCCACTTTTCCCTATCACCTGAAGTTTTTGAAGGGGAATGTATTTTTCTGGGTGGTTTGAGAAATTAAGTAAATGTTTTCTAAGTGACTGGAATATATGAGTAGAGAAAAGGAGCAGGAGATCCTCAGGGTTCTCAGCAGGTGATCCGTGGGCCACCTGCTTTGGAATCCTGTCTTCCTCCCCTCTCACATCCCCACACTGCAGACCAAGTGACTCAGAAGGTCTAAGCCAGAAGCCAGCACTTGGACAAGGATTTCTGGTGATTTTTGTGAAGACTAGAATTTGAGAACCACAGGTTCAAGGATAATTATAGTGGGACAAAGGACACAAAGACCATCGCTAGGGGAGTTGAGCTCTGACACATAATCAAGATGTTCCCTATCTTCTCTTCAGAATTCCAGACGCCAGCTTCTGTCTCCAACTCCCAGTGGGTCCTTCAAAATTCCAAACTCAACTTGTCCCCGGCCAAATACCTCATCACCTGGCCGTTGCAGAGGCTTCTCCACCAGCCTTCCCCAGCATGGCAAAAGACCACTCCGTCCTTTTGGTTTGCGCAGACCAGGCACATCTGCCTTTTCTCCCTTCCCCTCGCTTTCCCTCTTTCTCCCCATATTTATCCAAATAGCTCAGCTTCACAACATGCCAGAATCATCTCAGCACAGTTCTGCCCTTCACGGCGGGCCTAGCTGCCATGAACCTGGCTTGCCTTTCCACAGTGCCTCCCGACCTTCTCCCTGCCTGTGCCCTTGCGCTCCCTCCCTCTCCAACCACTGCAAGGCCACCCTCAGCAGCCACAGTGACCCTCTGCTCAAAGCCATCCATCCGTTCCCAACCTCTCCTCAACTGGACACCTAAGTCCTCAGAGTGCCTTGGTCAGGACCCTAGCTGCCCCTCACTGCCTACAACTTTCTCCAGTATCTCCTGTGCCCCAGCCTCACTAGTCGCCCTGCTGTTCTGGAGCACACTGAGCATGACCCTGCCGGAATCTCGGCACTGACTGTTCTTCCTGGACCACTCTTCCCTCAGATGTCTGAGTAGCTCTCTCCCTCGTCTCCTTTACTTCAATATTACCTCCTCAGGGTCCCCTACTATTTAAAATTGCAGCCCTTCACAGTCTGCCTTCCCTTTCCCTGTCTTGATTTCTTTTTCGTAGCACTGGGCATATTCTAATGCTCTATGTAATTTATTATGCTTATTTCTTATCTCTTCCCAATAGAAGGTAAGCTCTGCATAGGCAGAAATTTTTGCTTATTTTATTCACTGCTGTATTTCAGGATCTAGAACTATGCCTGGAACACGAGAGATCCTCAGTAAATTAGTTTGTTAAGTGACAGTGGTGTGGCACGTGATTTTACGAAATGATTCCTCATAGAGAATTTGCCATATCTAGATTTAAAAAAATGGTCTACTGGCCTAGACCACCCATGGAAACATACATGTCATTTCAAAATAGCTGGCAGGAAACTTATCCATTGTGTCCTGTGGCTCTGGGAACCCTCCCAAGCATTTTTACCAGCATTATCTTTTTATTCCAAGAGTCAACCCTGTGATGGGGGTCCACTTTTATCCTTATTTTTCAAATGGGGAAGTTGAGGCTCAGGCAGGTTAAGAACTTGCTCAAGGATACAGTTAGTAAGCCACAAAATTAGAATTTGAACCTAAATTGGGAGAGTCCAAAGCTTTTGTGTTTAGCCAGTAAGTACACTGCTGACTCATAGAGTAGACCGCCTTAATGGTGCCTAACCTCTGCGGTATGCCTCTTTAAAGCTTAAAGCTGTGCTTCATACACTTTTAAAGATCTGTTTTGATTATACTAATATTACTGTGTTGTTTATTTAGTTAAGTGTTTCTGTTGGCATTTGTAGGAACATGTGCTCTTATCCCCATGAGCTTTTTAGATTTTTAGAACTTGTTGATCGCTTGGCTCTGCCAGTTCTTAAGCTGCTCAAAGGAATCCTGTAACTTCAAACACTCCCGCTGGCTCCCACTGGACTTTTAGATCCCTCTAGGGGCCCCTCTGAAGGCATTCATCACAGGCTGCCTCATTGTATTTATTCTACTGAATTCAAGTCAACGGGTTTCTCGAGTATCCCAAGAAAACAGGCTGCTGTCCAGGCTCTGCAGACAGGAGTTAGAGGCTACATGGTTCTTGCCCCTCAGGCTGTCACTGGAGCCAGCGAGAATACAGGAGCCCTGTGGAGCCACACGGAGCAGAGACACTCCTCCCAGGCACAGGAGCCAAGCTTGGCTGAGCCGGTAGTGGGATGAGCTTGTCTGGGGGCAGGGGTAGGGGACAGATGGCCCTCGGGAGGTGAAGCTGAGGTAGGCTTGAGGAAGTGTTGGGTTAGGGAGGCAGTGAAAGAGAGCCTGAGTCATATGCAGGGTGCGGTGACATGTGATGTGTTGGGGACACCATGTGAACCTGGTGTGGAGTGGGCAGTGCTGAGAAGAGGGTGACAGTGAAATGATTGCTTTCAAACTGTGCAGGGCTGGGGAGGAGGAAGTGAGGAGTCCATGACCCTTGTGGAGGGTTTGGAGGGAAGGGGTACATAACCAGTTTGAGACTGTGGTTCTGCAATAGAGTGGGGTGGGTGGGATCATGACCCATAGTGACCGTGTATCCCCCTTTCCAGAGGAAACCTCTGCCCAGGGAAAAGCATTTCTTTATTCCTTTTTTTTTTAACTTTAAAGAATTTAAGTTTTATGGTGCATGCTAATTTTACAGAATGGTGGATTTCGTTATGGCACTCGGTCATAATAATAATACTTCTCCTTGCTTCCCCTCCTTTCACCTGCTCCCCTCTTTCCCCTTCTTGAATCCTATTGGTCTCCTTTCTACTTTCATGATGCGTCCCCCCCGCCCCACCACATCCACTAGCTTCCACAATGAGAGAAACATATGCTACTTCCCTTTCTTGTCTCTGGCTCCCTTCTCTTAACATGATGTTCTCCAGTTCCCTCCATTTTCCTGCAAATGCTATAATTTCATTCTTCTTTATGGCTGAATAAATCTCCGTTGTGTGTGTGTATATATATATATATATATATATCACATTTTTCTTTTTTCATTCATCTGTGGATGGACACCTAGGCTGATTCCATAGCCTGGCTATTGTGAGTTGCATTGAGATAAACATGGGTATGCATGGATCTCTACCCTCTGCTGACTAATTCTTTTGAGTAAACACCAAGGAGTGGTCTAGTTGCTGGATCATATGGTAGTGCTAGCTTTAGTTTTTTGAGAAGTCTCCATATGGATTTCCGTTGTGGCTGTGTTAATTTACCTTCTCATCAATGGTGTATACACCTTTTCTTCACATCTTCACTGGTATTTATTTTTATTTGTATTCTTGATGATTGTCATTCCCAGGCAGACCATTTCATACTCATATTCTGTGCCCTGGAGGGCTGGGTTTAGAGCAGACACTCAGTGAATACATAGAGTAAGTGTATGTTTACCTCATCCAACTTATTATTTCTGTAAGTTTTTCTTTTTTTTCATGGAGATTTTCTTTTGAGTAGAATGATTGGGACTAGGGGAAGATAGCAGAAAAGCTCTCTGATCTCCCACTGACTCTACCTCGGCTGGCAGCTGTGGGCCACAGGCTTCAGTTTCTTTGTACATTGATCTACTCACTGTCAGATGAAAAATATTCCTCTTTCAAGCATTTTTTTAAAAAATGTTTGACTGCTCTGGGCTGCTTCCGGGTCAGAAGAAACACATCTGGTAGAGGACTAATAATAGGAATAGGTATAGTAGGATTGTGGAAATGGAATCATTCAAGGCCAGAATGGTCAGGTATTTAGGTGACCAAGGCTACTAACTGTCCACAGAAGCAAAAGGTATCTCCCAAAATAGATAGATTTTCTTGAATCCTTGATCTTTTAATTTTTTATAGTCAATTTATAAATTGAATTAGAAGCTGGGCATGATGGCACACACTTGTAATCCCAGAGGCTTGGGAGGCTGAGGCAGGAGAATTACAAGTTCAAAGCCAGTCTCAGCAACTTAGTGAGACCCTATTGTAATGCCAGATTCGTGGGACCCCAATAGACCTCCAGGAGCCGAATCCGATGCAATCACACAAGAGTCTTTATTGCAAGCTCGAGCCTGGACTCACAATCGTTCCTGACACAGCAGTCCCAGGGAGTAGTCCCGGTCCTTTGTTCAGTGAGATTTTATAGGTTTTTTTTGGGATACTCTATGCATCACAACATCACACAGCAAATCATTCCATATCGCGGGAAAGTCAAACAAGAACTCTTAACATTGATTAGCACATTCACTGGTGGGAACAAGTTGGGTAGCGGTGATTGGTCAGAACAAGAGGGGGATTCATTTGAACTGATTGATTTAGGCCACGAGGGGTGTATGTGCCAAACTACATGGTTTCCCAACATGTTATCAACCACCATAAACTACTGGGGGGTCATCAGTCATCCCAGGTATTTTCCCTGTCTCATGCTGATTGGTGGTTGCTAGGGGGTTGCTATGGGTCCTCACCTAGCCTAACTGCGTCAGGGACACCTAGCGCCAAAGATCTCTCCTTTTATTTACAGACAAACAACTCAGCAGTGTGGGTATGTGCTTAGGGGTGCTCTGTGGGTTTTTCCAAGGATAAGGGTCACGCCCCCTTCCTTGAACAGGTTTTGCTCTGAGGTAGAGGCTGGTTTCTCAAAAGTGGAGTCACATCAGTTTCTCACTATCTCTAATGAAAAATAAGAAGGGCTGGGGATGTGGCTCTGTGGTTAAAGCACTCCTGGGTTCAATCCTTGGTACAAAAAAAATTAAAATAGAAAAAGATGTATAGTCTTTAAAATATAATGAAAACAAAACCCAAAAAACAAAACAAAACAAAACAACAACAACAACAACAAAACCCCAAACCATCTACCATTAACTATTTGGAGGAATGGAAATAATTATGAATTTTTTTTGCATGGCTTAATTACAATATCTATTTTTAGTAGAAATTTGAACAATGTATGCTTCATTCTGTTGATGCTTATGGACTTATCTTCAGAGAAACTAAGGGAGGGAGGGAGGGAGGGAGGGAGGGAGAGAGAGAGAGAGAGAGAGAGAGAGAGAGAGAAAGGCCCCCTGACATTTTGCTATCTGTCTGCATTGGCAAGTTTATTAAGAAATAGAACTAAAATTAGCAAGAAGCAAATATTATCCACCAAGTGCAAAACATTATCCCTGGCCAAAAAGACTTGGCCTGGAACTTAACCCTAAAGTTGAGTCCATTTCTCCGTATGCTGAAAGCTGGTCTGTGTACCTGTTCTGTTGGTACCATTTTCTCAAAGTCCACACACTAATGAACTGGTGATTGTGGTTGGAATTGCCTTTTTATCTGCCTCAATCCAAGAGCCAACCATTTAAAACTTATTCAGAATTAAGAATCCATAGTAGTCAATAGAGAAACTACTCTACAGGTCTACATCATGCTCTACTATATTTATTCTATTGAGTCCTTATTTTTCCTGGGAAAATGATGAACCCTTCCATTTTTGTATTGTTTCATAATTGAAAAAGTGCCTTTCATCCATTACCCCATGGCAATCAGCAATCTTCCTACTCTGTGAGGAAATCCAAGCTTCTGATATTTTCCTAAAGTCTCTTGGCTAGCACCTGACAGAATCCTGTCCAGTATCTTTATATACTGACTCTTAGATCAGGATTTGCTCCCCCCAAATCTATAAATTTTTATAAAACTGCAGCAAAGCTGCAAATGTAAGTAGGGAAATCAATAATGTTCTAATTTCTAACTACTTGATTCAAGCAGAAATCAATAGCACAAATTGAAATAAAAAGGCCGTTAACATTTATTGAACACTTATGTGCTTGGCATTAAGAAGTACATGTGTTATCTTTTTAGATTTTCCTGATGACCCTGAGATGGAACATTATGTTCACTTCCAGTGTTACAGACGAGAAAAAGAACTTCTATGAGTTAACAAAAGACTAAATATTTATGCAGCTAGTGACTAGCAGAACTGTGTTCCAACCCACATTGGTTAGGTGCCAGAGATAAGGGCTTTCCCACTCTTTGACTCTCTAGGAAAGTCTAACAGAGGTTGTTTTTATATGACAAAGAACAGCAATAAACATTCATTGGGTGCTTCCTCTGTGCAGACAGAGCTGTCTGTTGTACATTCAATTTCTCTTTTTCTTCTTACAACAGATCGCGAAGGAGGAACAATTATTGCTCCTTTGATAGGTAGGATCCTCATAATCATCATTCCTGTGATTGCTAAAGATGTTGCTCATACAAAAAGGTGAAGTCTTCTCTCTCTGCTTCTTGACCACCATGTGAGCTGCTTCCCTCTGTCGCACTCATCCGCCATGATGTTCTGCCTCAACTTGAGCCCTGAGGAATGGAGGCGGCCTTCTACAGACTAAGACCTTTGAAACCATAGCCCTCTAATAAACTTTTCTTCCCATAAAAAAAAAAAAGAAAGAAAGAAAAAAGAGTGAAGTGTCTTGCCCAAGTCCTCAGGGTTAGTAAGTGGCAGATCTGGGATCTGAACCCAAATAACAGTTCTCCCAGAATTTGGGCACTTACTGTCCATCAAATGCACCAGGTTGTCCCTAGTTTTGATGAGTCTTGGAAGGTATGAGATGGGTCAGGATGCTGGGCCTCCCTAGGCATGTCAAAGGAACAATGTTAAGGCTTCCTGGACAAGCTAGTTATACACAAACTTTTCCTACAAGGAAAGGAAGAATTTAATAGGAACTTTCTATGAGCCCTTTGTCACAGAAAGAGTCTGTCTGGAAACCTACTTATTGGAACTTGAGCACTAAATATGCATCAAAGACTTGTCATTCTAAGGCAGGAGTTTGCATAAGTCAGAAGTTTGTTTACTCCCATGAGTCTGAATAAAGATCAAGGTTAGGTTAAATAGCTATTAATAACAGTTGGAGTTGAGTAAGAGAAAAAAACAAACCTCTGGGACTGGTTGCTTTAGTCTCTTCGATAGATGATCAGGCTAATACTTGCTACTGGTTTATTTTATATTATTATTATTGTTATTGGCTTCAGGTGCACCAAATTAAATCAGTCATAACCTTGGCTTGTAACACACTGTCTACACTCATCCCTGCTCCTTGTTTATGCTGATATTGTTCCAAGTAATTCTATTGTAAAGTGCAATTGAGATCACATTCCAATACACACTCCTGGGTTCTCTGGGTTTGGATCTACAGCTTGTGGGTGGAGTCTTTACCTACATTCTGGACACAAAACCTAGCAGGAGTGTTCCTGTACCCAGAATATGGTGGCACATGATCCTGCCAAGGACAGGAGGTTAAGTCTTCAGGGCAGAGTCAGTCACGGGCTTGGTGAGAACATAGTATTCATGACATCCTTTCCAAGTTCCAAGGAGATAAACAACTGATCATTTTCCAGGAAAACTGAGGCCTTGTTTCCAGGACCTGAGGATCTTCATAACCATATTTCCTCTGTCAGTTACAGAGCTGCTCCCCCTCTCACCCCTTCTCCTTGGCAGGGCCAGCTTGGGTGAGGGCAGCAGAGCTGCCTCTGAGGGGACACTTGGGAACTGCACTTTGCCCATGGCCCCCGGGGAGAGATCCCGCCACAGCCTGGAGGCTTAGTCATAGGGAGGAGTTCAGGTCCCCTGGAGAACATTCTCTCCCCAAACCAAGTCTGGCAAAGCTTTCACATTTGTCTCTTTTCCTACTCACAACTTCTTCTTTCTGCTTCTATGGAAAACATTTGTTTCAACTTCCCTATTCCTTTTCAAAGTAAGTTTAATTTTGAAACGAATCAAGGCTGGGCACTTCATGTTTCCAGTGGTTAGGGTCACTCTAAATACCCTGCCTCTATCAAGGGCACCTGTTTTTTTTTTTTTTTTTTTTTAAATCTAATTTGGTAAGAGCATGAGCTCTGTAGTCATATCAACAATTTCAAGTCCTAACTCCAATATTCATTGACACATTTGAAAACCTTGGACAACATATTTAATTTTGCTAAATTTTAGTCTTTACCTATGAGCTAATGGTAACTATCTCATAAAGTTATTGTGAAGATCAATCCAGATGTCGTTGTACAACCTCTGTTGTGGCACTTGGCACTTGGTGAGCACTCCCCTTCATGGTGAATGTTAATTACTGATATCATTGTGAAACATGTTTTAATATATTCATGCTTTTATTTTTCTGGTGTGGATGTCCTAAAATAGGATTTCTGGATCCAACAGCATTTATTTGTGTGTTATGTACTTTAATATATGGTACCAGATTATTCTCAGGAGAGTTTGCAATGCTTCACAATCTACTGTCAGGGAACAAGTGTAGCCGTCTTCATCAAACCTCACCATCATGGGAGAGTAAGGATCATTCCAATATTAGCCAGTGTGATGGGTAGAAATAGTTTCTCATCATTTTTTTTTGGGTGGGGGGTGGCAGGTACCAGGGATTGAACTCAGGGGCAACTCAGCCACTGAGCCACATCCCCAGTCCTATTTTGTATTTTATTTAGAGACAGGGTCTCACTGAATTGCTTATTGCCTCTCTTTTGCTGAGGCTGGCTTTGAACGCAGGATCCTCCTGCCTCATCCTCCTGAGCTGCTGGGATTACAGGCGTGTGCCACACCACCCAGTGGTTCCTCATCATTTTAGTTTGCCTTTTCCTGGCATCCAAGGAGATCAAGCATGTATACATAGATTATTGGCCATTTTCAGACTCTCTTCTACTTCTTAACAAGCTAAGCCTGTTTCTAGCCTTTATCTATGGAATTTTGTAAATATTTCTATTTTTAATAAATGTGAGTAATTTATAAGAGCTCTTTATGAATTTTGAGGATATTACCTATGTTCTCTCATTCTTTCCTCTTTGTTGTGATCTTTGGCTGTCTTGTCATTTGCATTTTTCATACAGACCAATGTAACCATGTTCCCTTTATGTTTTCTGAGTGTCCCATTGTTCATCACTTTTGAGAACTAAGTATTTATAGAAACAGTGCTGGGGACAGAGTGAACTAATGGTGTCTCCGTCTCAGTGGGACCAGAATCACTGTGAGACTTTCTAACACTGTTTTCTTGGACCCAGTCACAGAGTTTCTGGAAGAGGGGCTTACACTTTTGTCCTTGGAAAAGGAGAGTCTCATTTTGGAGAGAAAAAAAAAAGTTCTTTTTAAAAGAAACTCTCAGCTGGACAACACATTGATAATTGTCAAAGCTGGGTGCGGGCACAGGAGGGTTCTTTGTGCTGTTTCTATTGTTCTCCCCACTTTTGGATATGTTTGAGAATTGCCAGAAGCAGCTAAAAAACCCAAAGTTTCTGAGAGCTCAGAGAACAAATCAGAGTTGCTTCCTTAGGCAGAGCTGGCCAAGAAGCAGAGGTGTTGCATTAAATCGATGTGTGAGGTCCATGCCTCATGCTGGTGGTGTTGGGCAACGAGTCAGGCTGCCTGGTGCCAGCGCTGGGCCAGAGCCTGGGGAGCCGGCCAGGACTATGCGCCACCCTGGACCCTGGGCCAGTTCTCATCCCAGTGGTTTCACGGCTCCTCTCTCAGTTCTGTAGGACTCCATGGAGAGGCAAGTCCCTGGGTTTCTGTTTGTTGAGGAGACAAGTCAAGAAGAGAAGTCATTCTTCAAGTTTCTCTCCCGGGAGACAAGAGCAGATGGAGGTAGTGGTGGGGGTTTTGATGGTCAATAAATTAGAAGTGAGCCTCTTTCCCATCGTACTGGCCTCTCTTTCCCTCTGTTGAAAATCCTTTGTCGAGAGAGAAAGAAAGATGGCAGATTAGAGGAAGGCTGCATTCCTAGTTGCTCTGTGGCTTGAGATTCAAGCAGCAGGAGTACTGCTTCTCAGCAAGGTGGGATTTCACTAAACTTCATTATTGGACAGTCAGAGCGTCTCAGAGGCTCAGAAATTTGGGTGCATGGAATGTTGGAGCCAAGTCGGCCCTGCAGCAGCAACAGTGGCAGGGCCATTGGTTCACCTCAGAGGGAACGGAGAACCCAGAAAGAAATACAATGGACAGATTTGGCACGAAAACCTGAGATCAGAAAAGCAGCCTGCACTTAGAGGATCCAGAGGCTGCATTGTGAACTGTTTGAAAAGTGCTGTTTCTCAACTGGCCATGGAGAGTGGAGGTGGCAGCCATCTTGAGGAGGCCAGGCTGCAGGAGCCGGGAGGTCACAGCAAACTCTGCCACACTGTCCCGGCAAGCACCTGCCATGCGGCCTAGGATGTACCTAGCATAATGTGAGTGAAACAGGCACAGAAAAGACTGTATCCAGGTGGATTCAAGTTGGTTAAGTGAAAGGGAGCCCAACTAGCTTTTCCTTTGAGTCTGGTGGCTCATGTGACCAGCTGAAGTGGGTTGGGAATCTGAACAGGCGGTTGTGAATATACTCAGAGGCTAACCCTGGAAGGACTGTGTCTGTGGGCAGCAGAGTGGGTAAAGGATTGGCTCCCCTGCCCCACAGGTAGAATTCTTGGGAGGCTCCTGAGATTCAAACTCCTGCCAGAGATCAGCAACTGCTGGGCTTAGGGGTGTGTTGATTTAATCTCTCCAGAGCAGATACCACCCAACAAAACCCCTAAGGTCTGATGAGACCTAAGCCTCAGTGGCCAGAACTTCTCCCACAGAACTCTGCAGCAGCCCCATCTGGGAGTGCACACATCTGGTCTGAGCAGAGCTCCACCTGACAGTATTTCTCACTGCATCTTACCTTATACTGATGGGAAGGGAAGCTGGGAATTATTTCAACCAGATTCAGTCTGAACCATTCCAACTGGCAACTCAGTAACACACAAAAAGAAAGAGGTTAACAACCCCCAGTCCCCTCCCCACTCAGTACATAGTCCATGGAAAGAACACTTGGGCATAGGCAGTGACCATCCATTCTCATCAATTGTTTTGAACACTTCAGTAGAGACAATTTCTTCATTTTTCATTAAGAATCGTTCTTTATTTTTTTTTCTTTCTTTCATTTTTTTCCCACTTAAATGTAGTTATTTTTCCTTTCCATGTCTTTTGTGGGTTAGGATTTTTTGGTTTGTTTCATTTGTTTGTTTCACTTGTTTCTATTTCTCTTTTCTCCTGTTACCAGCCAAATTCTCGTTTTCTCTTTTTCTCCCCTTTTCCTTTGTTTTTACTATTTTCTCTTCCTTCCTTATAAGCATCACCTGCTATATCTCTTTTGCATTCTCTGTTCATTTTTTTAAAATTGTAAACTCTCTTCTACCTTCCTACCACATTCTCTTCTAAATGAACTATATATATATATATATATTTACCAATTTTTAAGGACTGGTTTATATAATCCCTGCCCCCAACATTCATGCTATTACAATTAATATTGCTGTAGATAACATAGTTGACACCTCTTGTTTGCTTCAATGCTAGATCTAGTTCATGGTTACTTATTGTTTTTGCCGTTGGCAATTGATGACCTCACTATGCCTATGGTTTTTCTTTTCTTTCTTTCTTTGTGTGTGTGTGTGTGTGTGATTGTGTGTGTGAATTAAATTGTAGATATTATAATAGGAACAAGGTGTTAATTTTAATGCTGTGGATTGTTTGCAGTGGTTATTGCTATTGTTTGTTTCCCTCTATTCTGTGAGATACCGGGAACCTACAGGGACACTATAAGTTCACAGGGGAGGGACTCTTCTGCTGAACTAAAATCAACATAAAGATAGCATACCTTGCTCCACACACAAAGTAAGACACTAAAACTCCAGCTATACTTTAATACGAAGAATAGAAGAGACAAAAACTCAAACTAACAACCACGCCTAGAATAAAAAGAGCTGGGGTGGGCCCTCAGTTCCACTCATGGACATCCACTGCTACAGCAAAAACAATTAACACAAAGGCTGTGGCTATCACTCCAATGAGGGGGTCTCAGTCTAGATCACTCTAGACACTTTGGCAAGTGAAGGCTGTGCCCTATAGAGACCCACACATAAGAGTTGAAGAGGAATCCATTTCAACAGATGCATAAAACCAGCACAGGAACACAAGAAATATGAAAAGCAGGGTAACAAGGCATCTCCCAAAATTCATAATTCACCAGCAACTGACCCCCAAAATATAGAGGTGGATGAAATACCAGATAAATAATTCAGAAGAACGATTATAAAAATCAACAAATTCTAAGAAAACACAGAAAGACAACTGAATAAATTAAGAAAGTCACTAGAGGAAGTGAATGATAAATTCATGACTACTAATCTGGCCTTACAGAACTTACCTAAAGAAGTATCTACTCATGGCCTGGGTTTGTAGGTCAGTGGTGGAGCAATTGCCTAGCATGTGTGAGGCACTGGATTCAATCCTCAGCACCACATAAAAATAAATATAATAGAGGTATGTGACCATCTATAACTAAAAATATTTTTTTTTTAAAAAGAAGTATCTACCCAGAAGAAATAAACAAACCCCAGGGTTCACAAAGGAAGAAATCTCTTTTAAGAGTAGCTAAGCAAATGAGAAACAGGACCAAATTAAAGATTATCAATACATCAAAACGGCAGGAATTCATAAACATCTCTCTATAATAATATTGAACATAAATGGTCTCAACTCTCCAATTGAAAACATAGGCTGGCAGAATGGATTGAAAAATAAGACCCAACTGTATGTCATTTGCAATAGAAGCCCCTTACAGGCAAAGATAGACAAAGACTGAAAGTGAAAGGATCAAAATTGATATACCATGTGAATAGAGCCCAGAAACAAAAGGAGTACCTACTCTCATATCTGATGAAGTAGACTTCAAACCAAAATTAATCCCAAGAGACAAGGTCACTTCATATTGGTAAAGAGAACATTCTTCTTGTTGAAGAAGATATAATAATAATAAACACTTATGCCCCAGATGTAGATGCAACTAATTACATAAAAGAGACACTATTCAAATTGAAACCTCAGATAGCTCCAGTACAATTAATTATACTGGGTGATTTGAATACACCTCTCTCCCCATTAGACAGGTCATCCAGAAATAAACTCAGTAAAGACTCTTGGTACCTGAAAAATATTATAAATCAAATGGACCTAACAGGCTTCTGTAGAATATTTCATCCAACAACAGCTGAATATACTTTCTTCTCAGTGGCTCATGACACCTTCTTTAAAATAGACCAGATTCTAGGCCACAAAGCAACTCTTAGCAAATACAAAAGATTGATACAATTCCTTGCATTTATCAGATCCTAAAGGAATGAAATTTGAAATCAATGTTATAGTTAAAGCTTCATCTCAGGGTTTCACAAACTGACTTCCAGACCACTCACGTATAATTGAATCAAGCCTTTATTGAAGCACACCAGTGGCGGCTGACCAGAACATAAAGCTGTTCCCCTGATCAGCCCTGAACAATTGCAAGGGCACTCCTTATAAGCCTGAAAACCGCAAAAGGGATGTTCAGGGGGTCTAGCCAATGCAAGCAAGCCAGGTTACAGAAGTGGGACAGTGCAGTCAAACGGAGGGAAGCCTAACCAATCACAGTTACCCCAGTCACCCCAGTTACAGAAACAGAGCCCCGTTACCCTAGTTACAGAAACAATGCCTCATTAGGTAGTTCCGTGTTCTTAAAGGTTTCTATAGCAAAAGGAAAAGAACATCTTGCTCCAGTCATGACCCTTCTACTTGGCATGGTTGTTTTACAGGATGAAGTCATAAAACAAAATGGAGTCACATTTGCTCCTACTATCACATCAACATAACAAAACCCTACAGAAACTATACAAGCACATGGAGATTGAACAATACACATTTGAATGATGAATGGGTGATAGAAGAAATCAGGGAAGAAGAAATTTCAAAAATTCTTAGACTCAAACAAGAAAAGTGATACAACATACCAGAAACTCTGGGACACTATGAAGGCAGTTCTAAGAGGAAAGTTTTTATATATGAGTGCCTTTATAAGAAAAATCAGAGCTGGGCATGGCGGCCCATGCCTGTAATCCCAGCAACTCAGGAGGTTGAGGCAGGAGGATTTCGAGTCCAAAGCCAGTCTTAGCAATGGCAAGATGCTAAACTATTTATTCAGTGAGACCCTGTCTCTAAATAAAATACAAAATATGACTGAGGATGTGGCTCACTGGTTGAATGCCCCTGAGTTCAATCCCTAGTACTCCCCCTCTGCCAAAAATAAAGAAAATTGGAGAGATCCCAAGTAAACAGGCTAATGATGCATCTCAAGGCCCTTGAAAAAGAAGAACAAGCCAATTCTAAAACAAGTAGATGAAAGGAAATAATTAAGATCAGAACTTAAAACAATGAAATTGAGAATAAAATAAGAACAAAGGATCAATGAAACAAAGTTGATTTTTTGAAAATATAAACAAGATTGATAAGTTGTTATGGTTTGGATGTGAGATGTCCCCCAAAAGCTCATGTATGAGTCAATGAAAGAAGGTTTAGAGGAGAAATGATTGAATTGTGAGGGCCTTAACCCAATCAGTGAATCAGTCATCTGATGGGATTAACTTTGTGGTGATTGAAGGCAAGTAGGGAATGGCTGAAGGAGGTCTGGCAGTGAGGGTGTGGCTTTGGGGTATATATTTGTATTTAGCAAGTGGAGATCTCTCTCTCTCTCTGCTTTCTGATCATCATGTGAGCTGCTTCCCTCCACCACACTTTTCCACCATGATGTCCTGCCTCACCTTGAGCCCAGAGGAATGGAGCCTACAGTCAATGGACTGAGACCTCTGAAACAGTGAACCCCCAAATAAAAATTTTCTCCTCTACA